GCAACCTCAAACTCCTGGGCTCAAGGGATCCTCCTGCCTCAGCCTCCCAAGCAGCTGAGACTACAGCCATGTGCTGCCACACCCGGCTAATTTTTGTATTTTATATTATAGATACAGGGTCTCATTCTTGCTCTGGCTGGTCCCTTTTTTTCTAATTTTTGTTTTCCTGGAGAGTCAGTTGTGAAGTATATCTTCCTTTAAAAATGATCATATTTTGGCTTCTATGACATTTTCTCATGATTTCTCTACATCTCTAAACACTTGGGAATTTCCTTTTCCAGCTTGTCTTTATCTGGCTTTAAATTTTGTTGGTCTCCATTGCCTATTTCCAGAACTACTTTATGTCAAAAAACTCTTCGTATGTGGTGTTACCTAAATCAAAGGCTTCAGCCACCACTCATAAAATGGCCTGAAGACCCACACATCAAGACCTCATTCTTGTAATCAGAACCCACATATGCCTGGCTCTGTAGCAGATAATTCCACCTGGATGCTTCACAGATGTTAATAATTTACACTCAGTATGTTATACAAAGGAGGTAGTGGTTAGTATGCTAAAATACTGTTCCTCCCCAAATTTGCTCCTCCTCCTGAATTCCCTGTTTCAGTATATTTTACCATTGTTTATTCAACCACCCAAGTTAAATCCAAGTCATCTTATCCTATAATTTCTCCCTCACTCCCCATAGCCAATGGTTGCTGAATGCTATGAACTCTACTTTCTAAATGTTGCTGCTATTAAATTACTCCTCTGGGGCCGGGCGCAGTGGCTCACGCCTGTAATCCTAGCACTCTGGGAGGCGGAGGCAGGTGGATCGCTCAAGGTCAGGAGTTCGAGACCAGCCTGAGAAAGAGCGAGACCCCCGTCTCTACTAAAAAATAGAAATGGGGCCGGGCGCGCGGGCGCGGTGGCTCACGCCTGTAATCCTAGCACTCTGGGAGGCGGAGGCAGGTGGATCGCTCAAGGTCAGGAGTTCGAGACCAGCCTGAGCAAGAGCGAGACCCCGTCTCTACTAAAAATAGAAAGAAATTATCTGGACAACTAAAAGTATATAGAAAAAATTAGCCGGGCATGGTGGTGCATGCCTGTAGTCCCAGCTACTCGGGAGGCTGAGGCAGGAGGATCGCTTGAGCCCAGGAATCTGAGGTTGCTGTGAGCTAGGCTGACACCACGGCACTCTAGCCCGGGCAACAGAGCAAGACTCTGTCTCAAAAAAAATAAAAAATAAATAAACTACTCCTCTGTATCCCCACAGACACTGCCTTAGTTTGAGAGTTAAAACCCTTATCTCGAATCTCAATTATTGCAAAAGCCTGCTAACCAGGCTTTCTGCATCCATTCTTACCTTCCATCCCTTCTGAAATCCATACTCTACCAATTCCAGGATGATCTTTCTAAAATGAAAACCTTATCACATCTCTTTCCTAATTAAAATCCATAAACTCTCGTACTATCTATAGGAAAAAACTGTAAAGGCCATCGAATGGCATGCAATACTTTTGAAGCCGCAACCTCACCTTCAGCTACTAACCACCACAACCAATGCTACAGCTGTGGAAAACAACTTCCCGTTCATAAAAGTGTTCCATGTTCTTTCTCACCTACATGTCTCTGTCCAACTTTCCCTCTGTCTTAAGTTCCTTTCCCCCCAATTTCTGCCTCAGTTATGACTAAGCTTTCTTGAAGCATAAAGACATAAAATATATAGTACCTAATATAGTCCCTGACACATAGCAAGCGGGTTAAAAATGGGCTGAGCTAGCTTAGGTCTCTCTTCTTTGTTCTCTCTCTATGACTCCTATTTGCTTACAAGATAAACCTGAAATTACTTCGCTGGTATACAAGACTACTCATCATTTGGTCTCTGCCTACCTCCCCAGTTTCATATCTTGCCACCACCCTGTGCTATACTTGCTAGCTATACCTGCAGATCCTACCATGTAATTTCATACTTCCATGCTTTTGCTCACACTGTTCCTTCTACCTAAACGCCCATTCTTTCTATGCCTGTACACTTGTTTTCATCACCTTCTGCATATCGTTTTCCTTACCACTGCCCCCTTCCTCAACCTGTTTTTCTTCCCTTAGGAAACTAACCACTACCTCCTTTGTACATCCACTGTACTCCCATATGTTCTCTAATCAAAACAATCTTAAAAACATATACTTGTTCACAGTTCAAGCAAGAGATAAAGCTTGACCACCGTGAAGGAGGGATACTGCCTTATCCGTGTTTAAGTCCTCTTCAACTGGCACAGTACCTGCTACACAGTAATTCCTGTATTCCAAATAATCTGCATTTTTCCTTGTTCCTTCTTATATATAATAACATAAGTTTCTATCAGGGATTTTCTTTCAAAAAAGAAAACATACTTCTGGGTTACATTCTGAACCCAGTCTCTCCCTGCCAAGCAAACAACTGCAAATATAAGCCTACAAATTAAAGTTACTATGTACTTTCTGATATCACTATGTTTCTAAATTAGGGAAAAATGGTCCCTGTAAGATCTATAATTAGAAATCATATTTTGAAGAGACAGCAAATTAGGTTATATTACATTGTTTCAAAATCCTTTGTTTAAAGAATTACTTTCAAGAGCTACTGTTAAACTACGCTATCCCACCTGGATCTTTGGGGATACTTCGAATGAAAAGTGAAACTACTCTACTGACCTCCTTCCTTCCAACCCCTACTACTGCCACTACAGCTTACAGTAATTACTCATTTTCAGGAAGATACTCAGAAAAGAATTATTAAATCGCCAAGATAATCCTAAAGACAAAGTGAGGTTATTTTTTTCATTCACAGTCCCATTTATTCATTTAGAAATGCCGTCTCTGTGAGCACCAAAAGTGGGCCTATTCCTTACCACCACTTAAATATTTCCTGAATAACTGCCAAGTATGATGGAACGCTCCCCAAAGTACTGCAGCGCTAAACATGTCCACTCCACTAAACAAAAAAAGTCAGCGAAAGCTTTTCTAATGAATGTGGATGGTGTGCTAATAACTCTTTACATGCAGGTTCAAAATACTTCCAATTAAAATTATAGTGATCTTCGGGAACTCTACCAGGCCTTAGAGCGAATACGCTGCTTGCTCAAGAGGGAGGCTCTGCAATGAATCCCAAAACTTAAAACAGCATAATTACTTCAGAGAAGACTGAGAGGTGTGGAATATTTTGCAAAACCTGTTTCACTCTCACAACGATAAATCAAAAAAAAAAAAAAATTACAAGAAGAAGAAGAAAGAAGGAAAGAAAGCTAACCTCAATTAAGAGCATTTTGGGGCCGGCACAGTGGCTCAAGCCTGTAATCCCAGCACTGTGGGAGACCGAGGCAGGAGGACCGCTTCAGCTCAGGAGTTCGAGACCAGTCTGAGCAACAGGGAGACCCTCCCCCGTCTCTACTATAAATAGAAAAGAATTAGCCAGGCATGGTGGTGGGCACCTGTAGTCCCAGCTACTCGGGAGGCTGAGGCAGGAGAATCACTTGAGTCCAGGAGTTTCAGGTTGCAGTGAGCTAGGCTGATGCCATGGCACTCTAGCCAGGGCGACAGAGCGAGACTCTGTCTCATAAAAAAAAAAAAAAAAAAAAAGAAGCATTTTGGCACAGACATACTTGAAAATGAGTTGTGAAAGAATTCTCAACTCCGGATTTCTCCATCCATCCCCACTGAAAACTAAATTAAGGACCGCAGCACCCAAAGTGCCCCCTGCTCAGTGCCGGCGGTGGGCAACACCGAGAGCCTTTTCCTGGTCCACTGGGCAAGCACCGGAGACAGGTGAGCATGCGGGTACGACTCCGACAGTAAGGGCCGAGCCCCCTCGCCTCCGTCCAGGTGTGCCCCGAAGAGCGCCCCCCAGGCCTGGAAGACTCGGGGGGAGGGGCTCGGCTGGGAACACTCCTCCCCCGGCCCCCGAGAGCACCGAATCACAAACGCGGATGCCATTAACGGAGGCCTGTCGGCAAGTGGGAGGGACGGAGGAACGGACAGCAGAGGGGGCGAGAACTGGGGCGAAGCCTTCCCGGGAGGAACGGACACTGGGGGCAGCCACGCCCCCCACCCCCAACTCCAACCCCGAGCGCGGCGAGCGCCGAGCCCCGCACGCTGCCTGACAGACGCGGGCGCGAGGCCGGCGCTGGAGAGGGCTCTTCGGGCACGCGGGGGACATCGCTGCGACCCTCGCAGGCGACTGCTCCCTGCCACTGACCTGTGCCTGCCGCCACGCGACCGCCCGCTCCGCCGCAGCCGCTGCCTCCCCGCGCTCACGCCGCCGCCGCAGCCGCCTCCTGCGCTGCGCCCCAGGCCGGCCGCAGGCGCTCCATCCCCACCCCGCCCAGCCTCCGCCTGTTTACAATGACTGGAACCGAACGGGCCGAGCCGGCCCAGCGCGCACGCGCACCCCCTCCTCCCGCCGCGGCCGGCTTCACGGGCCCTCCTCTCTGCGCTCTGACGGCTGAGGCCGCCAAGGGCCAACGCCCTGTGCCCCCGCGCGGGGTGCGCTGGGAGACGTAGTTTTTGGAACCCGCCACCAGCCGGCCCCAGGGCCGCACGTCGAGGACGTAACTACAACACCCAGGAAGCACCGCGCCTCTTCGGGCCCGGGCTCGCCGAGGAGGCAGGGAGCGCGCGAGAGAACGCGCCGAGCGCCAGTGCTCTGCAGGCGCCTGCGCAGTTGCTGGCCTTGGGGGACTGGGCGGGACGGTGACTTACCCGACTCGAGCACTGGTGGAGGGAGTGGGGCCAGCTCCTGCAGCGGTCTGGAGGAAGGAGAGCTTTCCTCTTCACGCTCTGGACAGGCCGTTCCTCGGCTACTGAAGCTGAGACCTTTTCATGTCCCAGCGCGCTTTACTCGTTCCAACCAGTTAAACCGGCCTGGGAGGCCGCCCAGCCCGCCGCTGGGTGGGGCGTCTTCCCAGCCTTCGACTGGGTGCGGAAGCTCTGGCTGGGTAGAGACTCTTGCCCGGGCTGGGGGATTCGGAGAAAGGGAGCGCCGCGTGCCTGTGGGGAGGAACCATCCACAGAATTCCTTAAGTGGGTGTTGGTTCTTGCGGGGACCCGTTGGCTCAGCATTTACAAAGCAGCGCCTGAAGTCACGCTGCCCAGCCGCGTGCTAAGCTTTCGAGTAGAAAGTAATGAATTTCCTCCAGAAGTCTTTCACACAGGTTTGAAGAATTGCTCCGCTAATGCATATTGAAGGCTGAAAACCAGGGATCTTTTGAGGTCGTGTTTTATAAAATTTGTCAGTTTATTAGGAGAAAGAGGCTTTGGAATAGATAGTCCTTTTCAATGCCTTTTACTCCTATGTACAGCACTCCTTAGAACTTCATTACCTATTTAGATTGAGCGAATTGAGAATTAAAAAAAACAGACCAAAGATACCAGCAGCCACAGACCATGGGGGAAGCAGATTTTAAATTTGCCTAGCCAGGCATGGTAACTCATGCCTATAATCCCAGGACTTTAGGAAGCCAAGGCAGGAAGATTGCTTGAGGCTAGAGGTTTGAGAACAGCATGGACAACATAGCAACCCCATCTCTACAAATTTTTTTTTTTAAATTAGCTGGGTGTGATGGTGTGCGCTTGCAGTCCCAGCTACTTGGGAGGTGGAGTGAGGAGGATCGCTTGAGCCCAGGAGTTTGAGGTTACAGTGAGCTGTGATCACGCCACTGCAATCCAGCCTGGGCAACAGAGCAAGACCCTGTCTCTAAAAAAAAGAAAAGAAATCTAAGTCTAGGTAGATAACTAAAACCACAAACCAAACAACAACACTAACAAAAATAAAACAGCATCCAGAATTGGTACAATATATTAATGTTATATAAAATACCTACTTTTCAACCAAAAAATAGCAAGTAGTTATGCAAAGAAATAGGAAAGTGTCATGCACTCTCAGGCAGGAAAAACAAAAGCAATCAATAGAAGCTGACTCTTAGTGGGCTCAGATATTGGATTTAGAAGCAAACTCTTCAAAATAGCTATTATAATTACAATTAAAAATTAAAGGACTTTTTTAAAGAATTAAAGGAAAATATAATAAGAATTATTCAACAAATAGAGGATTTCAATGGAGAAATGGACTCTATAGAAAAGATAAAGCAAGGCAGTGGCTCATGCCTGTAATCCTAGCACTTTGGGAGGCCGAAATGAGAGCACCACTTGGGGCCAGGAGTTCAAGACCAGCCTGAGCAACTTAGTGAGACCCCCGCTGCTTGCTCAAGAGGGAGGCTCTGCAATGAATCCCAAAACTTAAAACAGCATAATTCTTGTAATCAGAACCCACATATGCCTGGCTCTGTAGCAGATAATTCCACCTGGATGCTTCACAGATGTTAATAATTTACACTCAGTACGTTA